CCTCGGAGCAGGATAACGAGAAATTTAGCGCGGTCTTGCTAACCCAGATCCCGCGGATCCGAATACGCGGAGAAAGGGTTAAAGGCGTCCGTGGACATTCCGGAAGCTTTTCCCATGCACGTGCAACGCACAGGCCGGGGCACGGACAGCTTCTCCGCGTCCGTGCCGTCGGTGCCGTCCGCGTCCCCGTCGCCAGGCTCTTTCGTGATTGCGCAAAAATCATTTGCATGACAATGAGGCACGGTCGCTGCCGGATAGTTTAGCTCGTCGGCCGAAAAGGAAAAAAGGCCGACGACGAGCAACGCCTGAAAAGCCGACGCACGCGCTCGCTCGATGTGGGAAACCGAGCGCGCGAGATGAGACAACGCTTCTATTATTTACACAACAAAAACGATAAACAACCAGCGTCGCTGCTGCTGCGTCGTTCGTATTCTTTCTTTCGTTTTTTTTTCTCGCGACCTGGTATAGTCGCGCTATCTCGGGATTTATAATTGGAACACGTTGTTCGTCGCGATCTCGAACAGGTGAGTCATCGGCGATCAATTGTATCGTACGTGCATGTAACATATACACGCGCGTCGCGCGACGGAATTCCATTAATCGGAGAATCCCATTCTCGCGAGTATATTCGTCCGCTTGGGAATCCGCGAATATAGGCAACGGGATGATAAAATATACGCGGCGGTCTCGTTTCGACGACGGCAGTTCCAAGAGAGCGGGCGACACAACCTGATCCTTTTCGGAGCTTATCGAGATTCGGAGGGGCAAAGATCGAAGAAGATAAAGCGTTCTGGATTCTTTTCCGAGCATCGGTCGCTCGTTTCGCCGGAACGCCGCGTTATCGTGAATCGAGCGCGAGAATCGAATCGAATCGGTCGACCGATAACGTTCGACGCCGCGGCCTGCGAATTACACTCGTTAAAGCAGCCTGCATTCGGGCAAGAGACAAGGCGTCCTTCGAGCGACACGCGCTGCGAATCTCGCGTTTCAGGAATTTCTGCGAACCCTGAACGATCCCCGGACCCGTTCGCAAGGTTCGAAGTCGTTTATCCCGAGGGTATTTTCCCCCCATAGACGAGTCCGCCGTAATCGGACGCCGACGACGATGCCGGCTGATGACAGTCTTTCGCGGCGCTTCGACGTTCTCCGGAACTGGTTCGGCGACAGGCAAAATTCAAAAGGAGCTTGCTAACCTTTTCCACGGCCTAGGTTTGCTACCTGTCCGCCAAGGGCTCGTCTTTCCGAACGGCCTCGGAAGCGGATCTAAAAATAGTCGATGGCCGGAGAAGCTGCGAAAGTTCGTCCGCGCGAGAACGCGAATAAAATCGTGATCGGTGTGTGTGCGTGTGCCCGTACGGATCCGCGGTTTACCCTTCGAAACTGCACGGTTTCGCGTTCGCAAAAAAAGAGAGAAAAATGAGGAACAAACGCGCAGCGGCGCGAATTGACTTAACACGGCCGGACGCGTTTAGTCGCGGAATAGGCGCACGGATATAGAGGCCCGAAGATTGAAAACTGCGGTCTAAACTAGAAAAACAGGATCGTTAAACGATCGGCGGGATTCGAGCGTGGTCGCATTGAAAGGAGACGGAATTATCATTATGGCCGCATGATACGCTGCACACGGGAGCTGCTACGAGACGGCGAACGCGCGCAAAAACTTCGGCTGAACGTTTTTCTGCGGTGCTGCTGCTGGCACGCCGATACGCCGGGTGACCATATTCGCGAGACGTATTCCGAACGGACTCGTGCCGAATGCAAATACATCTCGACGAAACGAGTCGGAAACACCTGCTGATCGCTGGAGAAGCACACGAGGATTTCTATCGACCACGGAAATTCTAGCTGAATCTTCGTTTCCTATTTCACGCTAAGCTATGAATTATGCGAAAGCCTCGACGTTTAAATTGTTACAATTAGACAGCATTTACGGCGCAAATCTTAGAAACGCGCGTACGATTCGTTTTCGTTTCACTCTCTTGATCGTTCGTGGACGAGGATTTTTCTTTAAGTATCGAAAATATATTATTATAAATTTACGCTATGCCGTCCGGTGGCACCACGCTGGTGCCATGCAAAAATTATCTGTTGCACGCCGGTGGTACCACTTTGGTGCCATTTTAAATACTGAAGTAACATTTGTACTATATTTCTTGGCTGTTAAAAGGCAGCGAACCAACTATAGCATTGTGCTTATTTAACTAAGAATTAAGTACGAAAATTCTTGGACGACTTGTCTTGATTTTAGGAACTTATATTACACCGCCGTTTATTTTGAAAGCGGCATAAGTCACTTTACCGTGATGAAAAGTGGCGATTTTTTAATGTTTACGCGAAATTATTTATACTGATATTATAAGTATTTATAAATTAATATAATAATTAATATAATAAATATATAATTATTTATAAATTATTTATATCAGTATCCTGAGATAACAAATACAAGTAGATCTTCTCGAAAGTTAGCATCCATATTTTTAAACGTGTTAAAACGCAACCCCTGAAATACATCGACTTAAAAACAAAGTGACTTATGCCACTTTCAAAATAAACGGCTCATATTACCGCCATCTCCGACATTTTTTGTTAAATCTAAAATTTGGGTCGTCGCACCCGGAATACAGTAAATACAGTAATATCGAAGGAGGAGACACGATTATTCAAGCTACGCAGCTTGTTTTTCTAGTTACCGATTGTCAACAAAACGAATGACCAATTTTCTTGGAAACGATGCCCGACAATTGTTGTTCCACATTCGAAGCGGCGCGTTAATAATCTAACTGGTTCAAGGTTGTTCTCTGCACCGAACCTAATTTGCCCGATTCAAAGGTCGTCGATTAATCGTTCATTGGAAACGGCGAAGGTGGCGACTGAAAGACTCGTCTCGCAAGGGTAAGACGAGATCTGTCCGGTGGAATTCGAGGTGCGCTAAGGGCGAAGGCGGGCTTCGAAATTCACTTTGGCCCTTCGGGAGTGGGACGAGGGGGTGGCGAAAGAGAAAGGGCAGGTTGAAAACTCGATTCCTTTGGGGATCGTCTGGCAGGTAGTTGCCGCATTCTTTCTTTTGTGGTCGGCCGGTCGCCGGCCGACGGCTAGAACTTGACAGCGGGGCACGCACGTGAACCAAGAAACGCGTCGTGCTCGAAAGGGAATCGCGTTTCGTAACCGAAAATCCCCCCCAAAAAAACCGAAGTCGCCCGCGAGAACGATTTGATAGGATATAGAAATAGGTGCACGAGTTGCCGACGGCTTCCCGCCGGTTCAACTTCCGTTAAATCCCTAGCCGCGGAGTATGTACCGAGAGGGGATCGAGTTCAATATGCACTTACAAAGTCAAGTTCAATATCATATTCTACTGAAAATCGATACGGTGCTCGAACAAGTACCTTTTCCGCCGACATTGTACGGAAGATAAACTCTCGCGGAACTGTCAAGAAATGCTACTTCGTTCCCGCACGTGTGGCAGATTGTAACAAAATTCTGTGGACATTTGCCAAGATACGCTTCTAAGCGTGTTATCGAAATTATTCCAAAGAGGAAGGGTTAAAAACCCGCGGCGTCGCGTCGGACATTTCGGAAGCCAATTAATCCGACTACGTGTGAACGGTTGAATTAAGTCGTTCGACGAATACTTGTACGCGAACGTAATATGTATTTGAACCACGCAGTAACAGAATATGGACAGAGCCCCCGGATCATTCGTTCGCGTACGGTTCGAATGCACTCGGTCAGGGTTGAATTACACTGGAAAGTATCGCCGCCTTTCCCCTGAAAATTGGAAAGGGTACGAATTCGCGTAAAATCGTTTGCTCTGTTCCATCGGATTCGGCATCGAATCTGCGTGCAATTTAATTGATTCCAGCTCGGACTCGGCGACTAGTCCGTGTACAGTCTCGAATCGAGGAACCGAGCGCTGCTATTGGCCGATATTCAAAAACGGTTGACACTGCCGCCGAGAAACGGTTTCGGCGGAGCCTCGTCCTTGTTTGAACACACGACGACGGTACACGTATACGACGACACCGGCTGGGCTCAATGTTCGTCGAACAATCGGCCAAAATATCGATAACATCGGGACGCGATAAAATCAGAAGGAAGGAGCGAGAACGCGTGTGTATGCGAGAGAGAGAGAGAGAGAGAGAAAGAGATAGGGACGGAGAAAGAGAGCGACGGAGAGAGAGATGGAAGGTTCGTTGTACGTGGAAGGACCTCGAGCGCCTTTGGAGGTTACATTTTCCAGCTCGCGACGCACCATTCTCCGCGAACCGTTCCAGGACATTTCGGACGATCGAAGGAAATCGGCTACTCACCGTTTTCCGACGTGGACTCGCGACGATGATTCGCAGCACTCGGCGCACTTCCTTTCGGCCTCGGCAAACTCTAGAAACTCGCGCGGCGGAATGAAAAAGGATAACCGAATAAACTGAACACGACGAGGACGAACACAACACACTCACGAGTCACAAAACAGACTGAAGCTCGCGAGCTGGCCGGGCACCTCTCGCCTCGCCTCTCCTTCTCCGCCGCTACACAGACGTTGCTACGAGACCGCCGCGACGCTGCTGCCCTCTGCGGAATTCGCCGGAACCTTCACGGCGCTACGCGCGGGCCCGCCAATTTTTAAACGTCGCAAATACGATCGAGCAGCTGTCTTTCGTTCCACCGGTCGATGCAGAGCTGGTATTTTCAGAAATCATCGCGGTAATAACGTGCAACGAAATGTGTACCCTTTTCTCTTATAATTATTGAGATGGTAATAACACTTTTGTGACAGTTTACGGCGCGTATTCGTTCGTTCAGCTGTATTTTCTCAGAAAAATTGTGCAATGTCTCGTCAAATCGTTGTTTTTACAGGAAAATACAAACTTGTAAGGGTTTATCAAGTTTAACTTGCAAGTACGAGCATTACGAACATTCGAATCCTGTTTTAATCGATTAAACAATTTATAGGTGCAAATTGTCCGGGCAGGAGGTTTCTCGCAAATTTGAGAACGCAATTATGAACACACGTATATTTCCAATGCTGTAGTTACACTTCGAACAATAGCGTACGCGTCAACGAACATACATAAATATAATTATAAGATCTACAATCTTTGGTTGCGATCGCGCGTATCGATACGATTAAATTATAAGATAAATATATGCTGCGGGTGTTCCGAATGGAGCACTAAGAGACGCTGTTGCTCGGACCCGCGTCCACGACGGTATTATTCTTGCATTGTGCGGCGATTATTTCCGGTCACAACGCGCGTCTTCTGCGAGACGACAAAGCCGCATAATCGAGGTCGGTTGTACCTGTCCGGGGGCGTCGCGCAGGTACGATTCGTTGGGTCCTAGGGCCGCGGGAAACCAAATTTGTCGGGTAGCCGCTGAATGGCCCGGTAACAATAGCGTTCGGTTAACAATGGATACCGACACTGGCGTTTCGCCAGTGTCGCTTGACGCGATTTTGTACGTTTCGTATACTCTGTAAGAACCTCCGAGGGTGCGCGTTAATCGGTTACGTTTGCAGTTACGTTTACAAATGAGCGGTGTTCGCGAGGGCTCGATCGCGACGAGGCACGATCGGTCGACGAACGATCGTTGTTACTTCAACGTGTGCCACACGGTCACGAGCTTCCGGGGATTTTGGAGCACGGAGAACCAATGCAGCCTCTCGGTCGGGCCTCTGACCCCTTTCCCAAGAGCCACCTTGCCGATAGGGACGTCCTTGGGCCTGTACGCCGAAGAAACGGAGTCTTCGCTGTCGCTCGGGTTGTCCGGAATGCACGCAGGAACCTCGACGGTCACGGACTGCAACGCGTACGCAAATAAATCAGCATGCTTTTCATACTTTAATTACTGTATTATTTTCTTTTTTGTATCGATAATAATTAATCGTTGCAGCTCTCCTTCTCGATCGTTACCTTGCTGCACAGTATCACCAGAAATTGCACGATGTCCAGCTGATTGTACGTCACGTCGAACGTCAAGGTCTCGTTGAACTCCGGCTGCGAGGTCGCGCAAGCAAACTTCGTCTTCCTCCGTTTCAGCTTCTGGCCCGTCCTTCCGTTCAGCATCAACACTTTGACGTAAGGATCTGAAAACGATCCGATGAAATGAAAACAGACGTCTAATTAGCCGATAGGGTCGTGCACAACGGCGTCTTACTAAATTGAGTTAAACTGGTCACCGACGGCGCGAACTTGACGTCCCGTAGTTTCATTACATTTATAGTCAGTCTCTGCGCGGTTGGTAAGTAAATTATACCTAGCAAAATGTTCCCGAATTCCTGAAAAAAGAAAACGGAAACAGATCATTGAAATCGGTAGGCGAACGGGAATCAGAGGGTTCTCCGGTACCAAGCAACCTACCAAGCTGGACGGTTTCATCCTGAAATTGAACATGTGGATCTCCGGACTCTGCAGAATGTGCCTCACTTCTTTGATGGACACCTTCAGGGAGCACAGTTCCGTATCGTTGGCGTACCTGTCGTGATCGAAGGCCGCGAAATCGAGGATCCAATCCTGCGAAAAGAAGATCCAGTCCAGACGACGGACTCTTATTATATTCCGTTTCCGCGTGGCTGCGAAGCAAGATACGATAGATTCCACTCGTTCGAGCCACCGTTTACTTGGGACAAAACCGAAAGATTTTAATCGAATGGTTCCGGTCCTCTGCACAGAGGCCGAAGGGTTCCAGTCCCGACGTGTCCCAAACAACCAGAATATATCGTAGTTGATTTCCATCTATTAACACGTTAAGCGCGGCGTCAGTCTCTTGGGACTGATAGCTAGCTTTCCGTTTGGGCGGTGTCAGTCCTCTTGGATCGACAGTATACTTTTCGTTTGGGCGGCGTCAGTTCCCAGGGACTGACAGCGAATCTATCCTTTGGATGGCGTCGACGCATTGGGCCGGCATCAAAGTTAAAAATTAATGCCGCCTCAACGGAAAGCCCAGCAAAATCGGCTCCGCGCTTGACGCGTTAATTCAGCCTAAACAGTGAACGAACGTTGAATATTATAACGTTAAATATTTAGTCGTGTCATAAATAACATCCGACGCAGCTACGTAGAATCTATTGTTCGTATTTACCCAGTGTGAGTCACCGGGACAAACGAGTTTTCGCTTTTACCGAACAGATAAGAGTTAAAGGTAAATAAAACAATAAACGGAACAAAATAAATAAAAAAGAAAATACAGAATAAATATCCGATAAAAAAACGGATGTTATTTACGACTCGACCCGATAGATAGACTTAATCGAGTCGCGGTGCATCGATTTCCCTGTTCGGGATCGAGCCGGCCGATCGGGGAAAGGGAAAAGCGAAGAACGGAAGAAAAGGAAAAGAGACACGTCACTCTGTTTTTCGTAATCGCGTGACGAAAGAGCCGTGCTTGGTTGCGCAAAACGCATTTGCATCGGGCTCCGCGCGGTTATCGTCGCGAGTTCGTCGGGGGAATCGCTTTCCCGATAAGCGGTATCCGACGTTTTCCTTCGAATTCAGGTGTTCGACGATTCGTTCGTCGTTGGAAAAAAAAGAAAAATAGAGAACAACTGTACGAACAAGGCCCGTTGGCGCAAACCCGAGCCGCGCGCGCAGAGCCATTGTCCGTAGATGCGTTTCGAGTTTGTGGCACAGAGGCGACGTGACGTGTTCCGCAACCTTGAATTAAACGCGCCGCTGAAACGGGACAACGGCGAGATAAAAACGAATCGTATAATACCTTGAGCTCGTGCTGTTTCACGTTCGCGACCACGAACGTTTCCTTAAAAATCGGGCTGGCCGTGTGCCGGACGCCCCGCGTCCGGAAACTGTGCAGCTTCTGGCGCTTCCGATGGCTCCAGGACTGCTTCACGATGGTCAACGCCACGAACGGCTCCAGCGTGCAGTTGTACTGCTTCGGAGGCAGCCCGGACAACGCCTGTATCAATATTCGAATTAGCATAATTGCTGATCGAGGGATACAAGTCGATTGAAAATGTCTCTGCTCTTTCAATAGTAGCGATGCGTTGAAAATAATGAAACGACGCCCTTAAATTCGCCCAATGTTCCTTAAATTAGTACGACAAATCATCTAACAAATTAGTTAGTTAAAAGAGCAAAGACATTTTCTTGCAATTTTAACCGAGACATTTTCCATTCTGCGCAACGATTCCGCGGTTCTACTAATTGGCGGCTTCCCGTATCTATCCGATAACTAAATAAATAATTCGTGGCCTCGACGAGGCTCTTTTTCACAGTCGTTTCTATGCGCGACGCAGCTGCGCTAATTATGCGCCGTTTAGAGTCGCGTCGCGATTGCCCGAAAACCAGTCGGAAGTCGAACGAACGCGTGCGTTCCTGCTTTCGCGATTACCGGCTGTCGTCGGAACAACGGAATCCCTTCGCGCGTCGATAAGGATCGCTCGCGGCAACGGAGAAAATTACGGGCGACGAGGGAACGGGCAGGAAGAAAATGTCGAAACGGTCGAACGACATTCCACCTGCGTCGAAACGATACGCGTGTACACCGCCTATATGTAGATACGACATACGTGTATATATGTACATAATATTCCGCGTAGGATAGAGATCGTTGCGCGAGAGATCGCAAGGGAGCTCGGATCGCCGGAGATTTACGACTCGGTTTCCATTCGGGTCGCGGAGCGGCCGCGGCGGCGGAAGAGGCGGCAGATGAAGGGGGACCTTTTAATACCTCGATACCGACGACGAGCTTTCCGGTAACAGCCTCCTCCAACGGCGGCAGGTACTGCAGGCTCATTGTCAATTCCGTCGGGAATTCCCTTTGTTTCTTCTCCGGCTTTTGCTTCTCCTTCTGCACCAGGTTCTGCAATCGATCGCCGTCGCAACGGATTAATACAGAGTCACGTCGAGTCAGCGAGAAGACTCGCTGTCGGACAATTACCAGGGTGGACGAGGCGTTGGTGCCCTCGAACTGGCCGTTGTTCGGGTTCCAGGACGTTCCATCGGCCCCCGTAGCATTCTCGGTGGTCGTGCCTGCTCGGATTTCAATGACCAACGGATTAGCTCGGACAAATCGGTCGTCCGGATCGTCGCGACAGTTCTAGCCGCCGGTTTAGTACTCGAAAAATCCGAAGAATTCGCCGGAATCGTTCCTTTTTTCCTGCGCCGCGTGCATCGACGCCGAACCTACGGTCTCCGTTCGTAGCAGACGATACAATTTCTTCATTCGAGTACAGTAGATTCTGCCTAATTTATCCTTAAGACTTGTAAACGAAAGTGGACGATTTGGGAAGAGGAGATACGATTAATTTCGAGTCCTGCGCCTCGTTTTTATAATTACCGATTCTCAACAACTACAAAAACGAGGCGCAAGCTCGAATAATCGTAATTGTCCGTTTTTGTGTACAATTTAAGCGTCGATTAGGGAGACAATACCGCAGTAGGTTCGGCGTCGAACGCGTCGCGAACGGCGTAAACGTATCCGCGCGGCGAACTAACGCGGCGACCCTACGGTCGCGAGTTGCAATCGCGGTTGTGAATTCTAATGCACTGTTGCAAATTCAAAGGACGGGTGTCGCGGCACGGCGAAGCAGTAGCCGGGTACAGGGGACACGGTACCGTTGCCGCTGTCTTCGTAGAGGCTACCCAATCTCCATGACCTGTAGCTGACATCGTTCAGCTTCACGTTTTCGTTCTGTCTGCTCTTGACACGCATCGGCACGGTTTTTGCGTCTCTCTCTGCAAGGAATTATTCATGGTTCTGATTGCGTAATTTGTAAACAACCGAGACGACGAGGCGAGGCGCTACGCGCGACGGCCGGCCGGCCCCGCTCTAGAAGATCCGTCTCTGGATCGCTAATTGGTTCGCACGACGCGTACGTTAGGAGCCGGTCCTAATTTTCTAAGGCGACGCAATTATTGAACATCTGCGATCGAGAGCTTTTAACGACGGATAATCCGCTGCAACCGCGCGACCACCGCGTCGAGGCTCCGCTCGAGGCTCGTTCATTCTTCGGGAATAGAATGCATTATTCGATGCTTCCTCGACCACGGAGCTTTTCAACTTCATCTTCGACGGCTAAGTGGTTCGCTGGACGGTGAATCTTTTGTACAAAGCGATATAATAATTCAATTTGATTCGATTCAGTTTAATTCAGTTCAATTCAATTCAATTCAACTCAAGTCAAGTCAAGTCAAGTCAATTCAATTCAATTCAATTCAATTCAATTCATCTCAACTCAACTCAACTCAAGTCAAGTCAATTCAACTCATCTCATCTCAACTCAACTCAAATCAATTCAATTCAATTCAATTCAACTCATCTCAACTCAACTCAACTCAACTCGATTCAATTCAATTTATATATAAATAATATTCTCTCTGCTATTCTCGTCAACAATTTGAAGTGTCCTATAAAAAGAATCGGTCGCACCGAATCTCGACGAGTATAGAATAATGTTTAAAAGGACAGCGGTCGCGACCGTGTCGAACAATCGCTGCTCAGCTTTGGCAATTCAGCGTTGAAAGTTCGCGTCGAGGGACGATGGGCGATTAGAAGCGTTCTCGCTGGTCGGATTCGCAGAGATCCTTTGTGCGGTCAGGATGGGCGTTTCCTTCCGCGGCTCGGCGGTGCTATCGCGGTGCCGTGTGTAGCTTGTTTGCGGGATGACATACCTAATTGCGTAACATCGCGGAGGAAACGAAGAAAACGCGCGGCGCGCGCGCGCGTGTGTCGTATAAATATGAAGCCGCGAACAATGGCGTGATGCGTGGACGCCGTGGCCGCGAGAATATTTATCCTGCCGAGGGGAAAACCGAGAGACGACCGGCCGCTCGATCGCCGGAAGGAGGAAAGCGGAAACGACGGAAAGCCGGGAGCGAACGCAAAGGATTCGCCGCGATTGGGATCACGAGCGTTTTATGCCCGCGGAGGAGGCCTTTCAACGACCCGCGTGCATCGCGATTCTCCCCGAGCTAATCCCAACCGGCTCTTGTCATTTTGTATTTTACGTAAGCTCGTTTCAGGGATCTGGGTTCCGCCGTTTCGCCGTTCCGCCGCGAGTAATCGCCCGGATCCGCCGAGCTCGCCGATATATCGTCGGGCGAGCTCGTCAAAGGACGGCTCCGACGCACGAAACGATCGAACACCGGGAAAAACTGGAAACTCCTTCGGCCTGCGCGCGGAAGCGAATCTCGCGAGCGCGTCGGCACAAGATGAAGTAATCGAGTAAAATAAATGTATAAAATAATCGAATACATAATTGACCAATAATCCGAGCGTCGCTTGGCTCGCCGGCTTCGATGCCGCTTCTCGATTTGCCACGTCGGCGCAGTCCTTTGAAATCTAATCGTCGAGATTTAGCGCGATTTTTCTTGCTCGACGCTTCGATTTCTTGTGTCAAAACATTTAAGACGAGTTTACATAAACTGTTATATACGTATAAAACAACGCGATAAGTTAATATTGATATTAGCTGTTCGTTTTCGTGTATATAATTAAATAATTAAATAAATAAATAAAATACCGCCGCCGCGTGCTAAATGCTTGAATGACGGACGCCTCCGCGCATTAATCCGCACAAAGGACCGAAGTCTAGCTTGCTCAAGCTCCGCGCGGCCATTCGAACGCGTCGCCTCGCCTCGCATCGCGTCGGCGGATTTCCGCGCGCATCCAGAGACGACCGCGATCCTCCGAACAGAAATTACATGCTCGTCGAAATAAACCGCACGAGCCGTGTGATCGCGCGCGTTTACTATACACGCCGTGGGAATTTGATTACGGCACCGGCGGATTAATTAATTGGCCGGCGCGCGAAACACCTCCGACGTCCCATTTATCGCCGGGCATTCTCCATTAGAGGACAACGCCGCGTTCGATCGTCCTCTTCGCGGACGCTCGCCGTCTCTGCGTCCGCGCGAAACCAGAACTCTTGAAACGCCGTCGCCGCTCGATCAGCGTTAGGGTTGCAGCTTACTTCGTCTCTCGATGCACTCGTAGCCAAGGCATCCCGGGGCCATGAAGCACGTGATCACCAGCAGTCCTGCGGCCACTGCCAGCGCGACCACCACGACGATGATGATACGGCCCCACGGGCCCAGAAAGTCATCGTACACCATTCACTGGAAGCCCAAGTTACGTTCAAGGTTACTATCGTCGCACTCGCGCACATACCGAACGGCCGGGTGTCGCGAAAATTGTTATTATCATATTGTTGCTATCACTCTCTCTCTCTCTCGTTCTCGTCGCAACAAAGAATACGTCCCGTCGATATATACAAAGTTCTAACAATTAACAAAGAAAAGAAGAATCGCTCGCGGCGAGCGCGACGCCGATCGATCTCTCTTCTCGACCGTCGCCGTCGCGGCAATTTTCAAACAGCTTCGAAATACGTTCGCGTCGCTCGCAGCGGCCGTGGAAATGACTCGTGTTTCGCGTCGTACATCTGTCACGATGACGGCGCAGCGATAATACGGGCACGGGAAACAAGCCACGTTGATACTTCGCCGAGGAGGCCGGAAAACACTTGTGCTTTTCGCGGCGCGCGTCCCGTTTCTGCGCGCTCCGTGAAAAACGGCAGAAACGGTACGCGCGGCCGCCGACGGAGAACCGAGAGAGAGAGAGAGAGAGAGAAAGAGAGAGAGAGAAACGGAACCTTTTGCGCCTTTTTTACCCTGAATGCTTCCGCGCCGCGTCGTCTCTCGACCGCGTCCGGATCGGAGAACACCTGTTACGCCGGACGCGGCAAGTACGATCGCGATACAGCATATGGCCGTTCGAATCGGATCGGATCGATCGAACGGATCCCGGATCGAATCGCTTGGACGGGCCCGATCGACGGTGTCACCCGGCGGTGTGGCTTCGATCGTTCCCACGATCACCGTCGCGTCGACACGTTTCACTCGCGCGACCGTCGAGCTCCGACGATCATCGAAGCTCGATTCCCGACGGCGATCCTTCGATTTTCACCGGCGATCCTCGCCTGGATCTTTCGCCGCGGTATATGTACTCACTCGGCCAAAACAATGTCCCATGACCAGTCAGGTGACATTCGCGGGTCCTGGAAAGTCGGCCGACTTCGCGGAAAAATCAAACGGAAGGACGAGATTTCGATCGAACGGCGCGCGTCCTTCGCGGTCGAACGCGGCGCGTTGCGTCTTCGTGCGCGATCGTCAACTCCCGGTGAACGACAAACGCCGCGGACCTGCATAGAACGAGAAACGAGCAACGCGCTATCTAAACTGCCCCTCTCCAGCCTTTGCCAGACGGCGACTCTGCCTATTTGGCCGGTAGCTGGCGGTACGCGACTCGATCGCGACTCGAAAACCGTCGATCGTTCCCGCCGCGCGTTCGAGCATCGAGCGTCTCGCGTCGCGCGTCAGGCGACGAGCAACGTGTATCGCCCGTTTCCGATAAAACGGAACCTCTAGAACGGTTACACGTTTCTCCTAATCATTGCCGGTCCCAGCAATTGCAGTAAATTCTCCAGAATTTGCCTTCAGCTTGCCTTAAAGAGCGAGGCTCGATTAATCGTATCTCCTCTTCCCAAATTGCCCATTTTTGTGCGGAATCTGAGCGCGAATTAGGGAGAAATTATATTGTAATCGTATCTCCCTCTTCTCAAATTGTCCGCTTTTGTTTACAAGCTGAAAGAAAATTCGGGAGAATTTACTGTGTTCCACGCGGAATCGACACCACGGTCGCCAATTCGTTGACCTGCGAGTCTTCTTCTTGCAAGATTCGAGCTTCTCCGGTCTCGACACCCTCGCTAAGACACGTCCCCGGAGCTCCGAAGCTCCTAATCGGTCCGCTTTGCTACTCGAGGCACGTTCCGTCGACTTTCGTCGCGCGCGAAACTAGGGTCGACGAGGAAGTAGGCGGCGATAACGCGACCGCGATATCAGGACCGTGTCCTCGCTCTGTCAACAGAACTTGTTAGCCCATCGGCGAACAAGTGCTCGACACACACGGTTCTCTCGTCGCGGCGCGCGCGATCGCTCGGTGCACGCGCGTACCCCGGCGATAACGATCTAGAGACGATAAACGACGGTGCAGATTTGTATCGCGGGTGCTAAAAAGGCGCGGCGTAGCCTCGCCGGCTACCGGGTCGGTTCGCGAATCGAGCGGAATCGTGTCGACAAGACGGTTCTCTGCAACGACGACCGGGAGAACGATTCGTGCGATCCTTTGTATCCGGAAAAGGAGAGCCAGCGCGATTCGTTTGCCCGGTCGGAGCTCGAATCTTGCCTCGACTCGAAGCCAGGTCTTGTACACGGGTAACAGAGTACAGTCACGAGCCATTGAAAAATTAATCGCGGTCTTTGAATCGGATAAATTAGCCTCGCTGCACAGAATGCCCTGGAATTAGTTGGATTATAATGCACGGTCTTGACGCGGTGTAACGATTGTCAGCATCGTTCGCAAGAAGAAGAAACCAAATAGAAATCATTTTCCCTCTCCGACAGGACTGCAGAAAATTCTCCCTAATTTTCCTTCAGATTGTACACAAAAATGGTGGAGGAAGTACGATTATTCGAGCCTTGCGGTTCGTTTTTATAGATATTCTTCTTTCCAAATTGTTCATTTTTGTGCACAATCGGGGAGAACGTCAATTAGGGAGGATTTAACCGTATCGTCTTTCGATCGGCCGTTCAGGCATCCGGATCGCTGGCTCGAGGAGCTTGCAAACCGGCAACGGGTTAAACGCCAAGGAAACATTCTGTGTCCCTGCATACGGAACGTTGACTCTTCCGTTCGCGATTTTCGCTAAGCCGAGCTAAGAACTTATGTAAGCGCCGGACAGGATGCTACCTTTTCTCACGCACGCTAACCACTGGTACCAACGCGGTCGTTATCGCGTAGCATTTCTTCTCTCTTCTCGCCGTTCCTCCGGCGAACGTGGTATTTCCAGTTTCTACGAATCGGCGTGCATCGACGAGCCTCGGGTTCACGCTTTCGAAAACGCTCGATCTTCGCCGGAGACCGATCCAAGCGCCGGAAAATTCTGGGCAGAATTCGAAACATCCTGTTTTGTAAATTATGCGATCGTTTAGCCGAGGTTCTTCCGATAATGTTCGCCTCGCGGTCCGGGAAACGACGCGAATTTCTGCGCCCGCATGCGTGGCCTCCATGGAAAAGACGAGGATATAGGGGACTCGCAGATTCGAAACTGAAACGAAAAGCAAAGGTAAGGAAAGAGAGAAGAATCGAACGAATAAATAAATATAGTTTTATAGAAAAATAGCTTAGTTTGAGTCGATGCAATTTAGCATCGAGTATCAACCCTTTGCACTCGATGCTATTTCAACTGTAAATGTAAAATCATTTTTCTCGCTTATAGTATCTTTATTTTATATGTTAAATTGCATTTTATGCATATGCAATTGACTCTTGATACTCGCGCAACAGTTACACACTTAACAATTTGTTAAATCTAAACTTTGTTAATATAAAAATTATCTTGAAACGCGATGTAACAACTTTGAGCGGTGCCTCGAGTGCAAAGGGTTAAGAACAGTACCGTAATAAAACGAAAGAGTTGTAAACCGAACGGCGTGGTTTCTATCGAATAAATCAAGTAACGAGTAAACGAACGTAGCTTCCCCATCGAGCCCGAGCAAACAATGGTTAAACGGCGGAGACGAGGAAGGAAATTAAAGATTCCTGGCTGCCATTGAAAATCACGCCGATCGCCGACGTGGTTTCACTTTTGTTGCTCGATCGAGCGGACATATAATTTCCGGTCTTTTCCGGGTGAATCTTTGAACGGCCGCTATGAAAGGCGTTCGCGTGACTCATTGTCGGACACGGCTCCGGCTTTATCCAATTACAGTGCGCGCGGAATCAAAATTCAACGGAGCGGCGCGCGCCGCTCCGGTTGAATTTTCTTCGGGAGCCGACGGGATTCTCGCCGGTCGACGATACGCTATAAATTCTCCCTAATTTTTCTCCAGCTTGTAAACGAGAATGGACAATTTGCGAATTTTTATAGCTTATTATATATAATTATTATATAATAATAATATAATAATAATATAATTATTATATATATTATAGCTTATTTATATAGATTGTCAAGCATTATAAAAACGAGCGGCAAGCTTCGAATAATCGCATCATCGATATTTAAGCGTTCGAGTAAATTTAAGGACACGATAAGCATCGATTCTCTTCCCCTTCCAAGAAATTATAGCAATCGAAAAATTTCTAATCGCAGCAACTGCGAAACAAACGGTATATCAAGGGGTTGTCGAGCTGTTTCGCGGAACATTACGCGGCCAGCGTCGCAAAATTCGAAACGTGCTTGCGCAAACTGTTCACCATAAACCGGCGTATTCTAAAAATAGGGTTTTCACCCGCGCGTATAAATTAAATTACATTTTGACGAATCGGTGGAGGAACGCGGCATGGTCAAATTGTGCGAGCGCGTGCGAGCGGGTGCGAGCGGGTAGGAGAAGCCGAAGAGGAAAAGGAGAGAGAGTTCATCCCCGATGGATCGGCTCGGCGGTCGTTCGGACTCGGTGACCTCGATCGCCGAACCACGTCTCCTTTCACTCGAGAACTTCTTTCCGGAGGTCTTTCTCGCACCGGCGCGGCGGCACGCGGTTGCATTCTAGCCTCGGTTCGCCTCAGTTCGCCGGAGTTCGCCGCAGTGGGCCGGTTACCTGCCAGCTCGAGCTTTAGATTTCACTTTCATGTAAGTATAGCGACACATAACGGCTACCGCGAGCCACCTGCTTCGAACCGCGTTGCCCTCGTGCCTCGGTGCGGCCTCCGCGAACGGTTCGCCGGTGAAGCGACCGCGGTTCCTCGGCCGAGGAACCGATCGCGGATCGATCCGAAAACGCGCGTCGACGCCTGTTCGTTTCGTCCATTGGAAAGCGAGGAAAGGCGTCGGCGACACGGCCAGCTCCCGATGGTTTCGAGCAGGTGTACAAATAATTTCCCGTGGACGCGCGTCGAAAGTGAAACGGTACGTCGAACGAAACGATCGCCGATCGACCGAGTATCGTCGAACGGCGGGTCTTATCGAGACGAATTAAAGAAATCGCTTTATTCGTACACCTGGTAATACGCCATCGGTGAACCGGCGAGGAGAAACGCCGATCTCCAAACGCGAACGCGACGACCGCGGCAGAAAGTCCATCGGCTGCTCGCGATTTCTACTCGTATCGACGTCCGTTAGGAATCTCGTAGACGGATATCGCTGTTGGAAGTGATCGGCGAACGGCGCGCGACCGGCGAAAGTGAAACTGACGCGATCGACGATTTCAATCCTAGAAAACTGCCCGGTTTTCGCGGGATGACAGAACGTCTGCGGACCTGATCGAAAATCGCGCGTGCACGAGAACACGTCTCAGCCGAAGAAGAATGTCTAGGAACGTCCTAGGAACGCTGTGCGTTCTGCTGCTGCTGCTGTACGATCGTAAGTAAATATCTTCGCGCGTCCTTCGCCTACTTGTCGCGAAATCCGTGCGCGACGCGGCTCTCCTCGACCGTAGTCTAAATACAAAAAATCGACGATGCGTGCCGCATGCATCTTCTTATGCAAACGACGCGGCTGAAAGCAACGTCTTGGCCGGAGTCGCGAAGGTATCGTGACGGAGCTCGTTGAACCGCGACCGTTCGAGCGAGGAAAAGAGAGGGAGAGAGAGACGATTGAATCGGAAAGCAAAGAAATCGAAAGTGGAGTCCGACCTATCGACTTCGTCCTGTCTCCTCCTCTGTTCCACGAGCGGAACCGCGTCGCGATTGCTCAAAGAAACGTCCGTCTCGGTTTCAGATACCACGTGCCTGATCGTCCCCGAGGAGCTGCCCACCATACTGTCGCTGATCTACTCGAATATTCCGCCGATTAAGAAAGGTAACGCGCGGTTGCGTCACGTCCACGTGTCACGGTTTTCAGGAACATCGTTTTACTCGCCGTAGTCCGGCTACGCCGGCTCGACGAATCGCGAGCGTCTCGTGCCGAGCCGACACGCGAACCACTTTCACTGCTCGGCGTTTAACACCGTTATAACTTGCGCCGGTCGTTCCAAGCTCCGCTCGATGGACGCGACGACGCCGATCTTTTCGTTCGCCGACGACAAAAGTCTCTTTCGTTTCTCGCAGGCACCGATTCCCGAATCGGCGTGGGCTTCCGGCTCGGCGAGCACGCGGACTTTCAAGTGCTGCTCGAGCTGGGCCCGCAGACCGAGACCGAGCCGATCGGGAAAGCCGATTCGAAGAGGCGTCGAGATGTGAGTAATCAGAAAAGAAAAGAAAAGAAAAGAATAACGATTTCTAACGTTGGTCGGTTGAGAATTGATTTTCATGTAATCAGGCCATGTTCGACGCTGCCATGAGAGGAGAGCTTGGGCCGCTGGCGCAGGCGGTCGCGAAATATCAGATGGAACGGAAGTTGCAGAGGGAGCTGGAGAAGTTGAAGAAGTCCGAGGAGAAGCTGGAAACAGCGGCCGCCGAGTCTCAAGGGAAGAAGGTAGGTTCGATCGTCCTTCGCCGAGCGGAGCATCGTGTCGCGCTGCCGAATTTCGGTTCTCTGAGATCGTGCTTTCGTTTAGAGCGAGGCCAGCGAATGGTTGACCAAGTGGAGCAAAGGGATGGGGAAGTCCTCCGAGGACGAGGCCTCGGTCGAAGACATTTCCAACGAGAAGAGTCCTCCGAGTCCTGCGAAAAAGAAAACCGTGCAGAGGATAGGCCGACCTTCGTCTAGCTACAATGGCGGGACAGGCTCGATCGCGGACTTAAAGAAATTGTACAAGGAGCAAATCGACCAGAAAAATTAGTTGTTGCATTGTACATGCCATCGGGGTATTTGCAACGTTGTAGATATTTTGTTGCGCAAGCATATAGGTTGTTGTACAAAAGTATAGATGTTACGGAGGGAGAAGGGCAAAGAACAAAGTCGATTAACGTTACCTCCTTGCCAAAGGATCGCGTGCGCAGCTGGCAACGTCGGAGAAAGCGTGTCAACTGCGCGATGGTCTTTCATCTCTTCGACGGATAGACGAAAGTTAACAAAGCTGAAATATTTTTATACCTGATAAACTTAATAATATATCGACGTCCATGGATTTGTTTTCTAAACGACGGAGTAGACGATGTTTAGATGATCCTGAGAGGACACGAGATGCTGTGCTATATTAAATTAAAGAAGATTGTATTTAATGAAACACGTGGTTCTCTTCTTATCCTCGACGCGTGCGAGTGTTTCCCATTCACTTGTCAAAGGATTATCGTAATACATTTGAAGAGGATGAAATTGCAACGCGGATATTGTAAAAAAGACAAGCGAATTTTACAATTTTTCGAAATAATCGTGTGACGAAATAGATGACAGCATCAACAAATGCAATTAACGCAATGATGATCGATTATACTTTAAAATGCAATTAATTATGTTTTATAAGGTTGTTATTTGTTTTGTAATATACTATCGATGCTGTACACTCTACTGAACGATTCTGTCCACTTAGATTATTTCGTTTATACCTTAATTTTTTCATAATTACTGCTTTTTAACGATTTTGCATTGGGCAACAGAGAGCGATTGTGGCGCCTCTTGTGGAGGAAAAACGAAGCTCCTTCCGGGGTTCGTACAGCGCCAATTAGTCCGGTGGCAAAACGCTCAAACTGTTTGCCAAACAGTGGCGCCACTTGCGGCGATATTTGGAAGTTCTGTTTTGGCTAACAGTTTGAGCGTTTTGCCACCGGACTAATTGGCGCTGTACGAACCCCGAAAGGAGCTTCGTCTTTTCTCCACAACAGGCGCCACCTTCGCTTTCCTTTACAAAATGCAGAGTTGCATAAAAATATTAATTATAGCAGTATTAGGGCCTAATAACGTAAACCAAGTACACAGATCTGTGCAGTAGACTCTGCTGCATCGATTTAATATTAAAAAACAAATGATAAAATTGTAAAACATAATTAACTGTTTTTTAAAGTTTATCTCACTATTACGTTAATTAATCATGTTTTGGATTAATGATATCAGCTCTTCTCACATGAAATAGATGCAGCAGACTCTCCTGAATAAATCTGTGCTCTTTGTTTATCGTTTTATGCCATAATTTTGCAGTTATTAATGTTTTTAGGCAACCCTGCATTTTGTAAATAAAGCGGAAGTGGCGCCTCTTGCGGAGAAAAACTGAAGCTCCTTTCGGGGTTCGTACAGCGCCAATTAGTCCGGTGGCAAAACGCTCAAACTGTTAGCCAAAC